TGTTCCAGATGGTATTTCACTATCAGGAAGGTTAAATCACTTCAATCAGCACAGCTGAACCCATCCATGTGTCTGCAGAGTCCTGGAGCACATGGGGTCCTGTAATGCTCCCGGAGCTGCTAACATTTCTGAGCAGCCGTGCCCTGAGCAGTGCAGGGATTTCAGCAGCTCTGCACGCTGCCCTGGGCTGCCCTGCTGCCCTGCAGCCATTGCGTAGCACGCAGTTGTTTCACTGCCCTTCCTGAAAATCTTCCTCCTTAGAGGGAGCTGAGGGCTCTCTGCGAGGGGGAGAGCAGAATGCAATGTGTCCTGGTGTACTCTTTGCCCTGGTTGGTTATATGTAACCTGCAGTGCTTTTGCCCATCTACCTCCTGGGATGGGTATGGAGATGAGGATGGGATGAAGATAAGGATGGGATGAAGATGAAGATGAAGATGAGGATGGGATGGGATGGGATGGGATGGGATGGGATGGGATGGGATGGGATGGGATGGGATGGATGTTTGGTGCCACGCAGCTCTGCTGCATGATGCGCTGCTCTCTGGGAGGCTGAAGGCATTGTGCTGTCAGAGGAGTGGATGTGTCATTACACAGTAATGTGGACTCCAGGGTTTTACTGCCATTATTCAGCTTCCTTAGAATTTACATACCCTCCTGCCATAAATCAGTTATGTGAGCAGGCATCTGCCATCTAATCTGCCGCTTTATCTGCTCCCCTGCAATCTGCCCATGGGGCTGAGTGATGCTGGGGCTGTTTTCAGCTCTGTCAGGTTACAGGGGAAGGCCTTGAGTCTGAAGGGAATTCCATCAGTGCCAGCATCCTTCCCATCCCGAGGCAGCAAACATTTTGTGAAGGCAGAGCTGCAGCCCAGGCAGCTGGCACTGCACCCTGAGCAATCTGAGAACTCCTTTAGAACAGCACCTCCTTGCTTTCAGTGCAATGGGATGGGATTCCTCCCGCTGTGAAGAGCCATGGAAGCAGTGGCAGGCAGTGCAGCGTTGGCAGTGCGATGGCTGGGGCAGGGGAGGGCAATGCTTTGCTGTGTGGCACAGCTCAGATTGCCACCACGGTATGCAGTGTGCAGTCCTCCAAGTCCTGCTCTGTTTGCTGTTGGGCATTTTTTGCTTGGATTTTCCCCCAGATCTTCCCTAGATGTATACATGCTGCAATTTAAATGTGGAGAGGCAGCTGAGCTCTCATCCTGCTGAATGTTGGCATTTGTGAGCAGCAGATCCTGGTCTTGTGTGTGTGGATGGGATGAAGCAGCCATGCACAGAGCCCACAGTGCAGTCAGCCCCGCTTTGCCCACACACACCTCAGCCCTCACCTCCTGGCAGTGTGGCTCTTCATCAGCCACACACTACAGCTTCCAAAACCACGTCTTCCTGTTCTCATTTTTAAGCTCCTGTCAGTATGAACCACCTTGCAAAGGGCTCCAGGCCTGGCTGAAGATAACACTGCATTCCTCCCTTTGTAACATAACTTCATATTCTCGGGTGATTTAAATGTTTATTATCAGTAATACAGATATTACCGCAATCTTATTAATTTCATTAGAGAATTAAGCTGCTTTTAAAGCTTAGTCACAAAAGCAAACAGCGGAACACGAATCCCTTTGGTTGCTATTAGCATGGAGCAGTTGCAGGCACGGTGCTCTTTGGTCTGCGCTGTCAGCAGGGGAGCATCGCCGTGAGGTTGGGGTGCAGATTTTGAGGAAAACCATGCAGAGCAGTTGTTGTGTGGTTACAGCACAGAGCCCCAGAGCACTGCTGTGCAGCTGCTCGGGCACTTTCACCTCGAATAACAGCGCCGTTCCTCCCGGCAGGTGGACAGTGCCATGTCCCTCATCCAGGCGGCCAAGAACCTGATGAACGCCGTGGTGCAGACGGTGAAGGCGTCCTACGTGGCGTCCACCAAGTACCAGAAGTCGCAGGGCATGGCCTCGCTCAACCTCCCCGCCGTGTCCTGGAAGATGAAGGCTCCGGAGAAGAAGCCCCTGGTCAAGAGGGAGAAGCAGGACGAGACCCAGACCAAAATCAAGCGGGCGTCCCAGAAGAAGCACGTCAGCCCAGTGCAGGCACTCAGCGAGTTCAAGGCGATGGAGAGCATTTAGAGGTCTCTGTGTCGGTTGGTTTTTCCTTTAGGCCACTACTGCAACTTCCAGAACTCTACTTCTAATATTCTAAGGATTCTCAGAAGTTTACTACTCCTCAAAATGTATTTACTTAATATAATTTTGATAACTTTGTTTAGATCATGTGGGGAAATACTCAAATTACAAATCCTATCAGTATAGCTCCAGCCTGCAAGAGTGTGTTAATTTAGATTGCTTTTAGATTCCAGGGGTGTATTTCTAGCTGGAAATTATTTTGTATAATCTCGCTTTAAATGAAATATTCTATAACCAAAGAGGTTTTACAATAACACTAACAGTTAATGCTGATAGCTGAATCGTTCTGCTTGGAGACTGCTGTTTTGCCTTGTGATCAGGAGGGAAAAATTAGGTCTTTTCACCCGAAAAAAAAAATTTAAAAAACGGATTATTGTATGTATGTATGTGTGTTCCTGCTGGGAGTGGAGAGCCAGTGAGCTCCGTGTGCTGAAAGGAGCGTGAGAACACAGCGAGCACCTCCTGCATGGCACACGGCTGGGCAGCCGGGAGGGGCAGCAGTGCTCCCTGTGCTGTGCTTCTCATCCCTGTGCCCCCATAGCTGCTGGGGCATGGCTGCTGGCTTCTATGTGACATGAGAGTGGTGATACAGACCACTGATGTTGTTGCTGCAGGACACAATAAAGTCGCTTTTCCCATCCGTGCGTTGTGCTGTGCGTGGTGTTGGTAGTGCTTCCTCCCCACATCCACACAGTCAGCACTGTGCCCATTTCCCAGCACAGCTGCCTGCACCCAGCAGCTCTCGTTGGCTGTGCAGCGAGCAGGCACAGTGTGCTGATGTACCTACAGGCATCGTTTCACTCTTATTTACATGCTACGACTGTCAGTGTGTTTTACTCCTACCAACGAGGTCCTGCGTTCCCCAGAAGGCTGTGGGGCCAGGATTTGGTGCACTGCGTGTGCAGTGTTGTGACTGTAACTGAATTTGAGAGCCACTCATTGGCAGCTGTTATGTTCTAATTCCATTTACCTCGAGCACAATTTACTCTATGAAGCTTATTGCTGTTGGGTTACCCAACCGCTGATCAGGATTAGGAGTTACTGCAGTAACGTTGCCCATTTTGCTCCCAGGTGCTGCAGCCTCCAAGGACAGGTGACAGTGCACTGCTGTGTCACTGCTGTCTGCAGCTCTGCTGCCCCACAAACACCCGAGGGTCAACACTGTGTGTCTGTCCCATGCCTGCTTACTGTCTGCTTTCACACAACGTGACTTCTCTTTTTCCTGGTATTAACGTAATTGCCTGAAAGGTTCAATTCGCCGCACTGTTCAGTGGCTGTCATCAAACACATCACTCCTCCAGAACCCCATGTATTGGCATTATCAAAATAAACTGCAACAAACAGACATTTAGTTTCATCCAGGTTTTGTGTAAATGCAAACTCATGTCGTGCTGTGACTTTTGGGAGGCACCGGGGTCCAGGCAGGCTGCATTCGGCACAGGAGCGGCACCGTAACTATATTAGAGCCAATTGAAAAGAATTACAGTAATTACTGCTTGATGTAATTAAGCTCTGGGGAAGGACTTGTGCAGTTTGTCTCATCTGCAGTGCTGGAGGGAAGGCTCTTCTTCTGGCAGCAGCATGTGAGCACAGCCCACAGCAGTGCTAAGAAGTGCACATGGGATGTTCTGCCAGCGCTGCCCTGCTCAGAGACACCACACAGCTGTTTGTTCCCTCTGTGGATGGAGGAGTGCAGCAGGAGCTCCCATGCACCCAAAGGAGCAGCTCTTCCCTCACAGGGCCCCCAGTGCTCAGCATACGCAGCTGCGATGCAGCACTACGCTGCCTGCAGCTCCCATTTGTTGGTGCTCACAGATACTGATGGGATAAGTGGCTGCCCAGTCATGGGGTAGTGGGAAAAGCTGTGAGCCTGGGCTGGGGCTCAGTCTCCAGCCTGAGCCTGCAGGCAGAGCCCTTGGGTCTGGGGCTGGGTTCTGGCTGCTGGGCACAGGGCTGTCAGCACTATCTCTGCAGCATCTTCCCTGACCGAGTGCTTTTTGGTAAGTAACTCCAGGAACATTTTCCTCTTTTTTTTTTTTTGGACATTCTTCCCCCCCTGCACTCCTCTGGCAGTTGGATGGAAATGCTGTCGGCTGTACTTCTCCATGAGCCGCTCACCCCGTGGCTCTGGGTGGTGCACATCTGTGCAGCCATGCATCTGGGCCCTGTGTGAGCACTGTGGGACGGAAGCAGAAAAGGCAAAACCCAGCAGAACTGCATTTCCTGCAGTGAGTCCCCACTGAGGGCAGGAATACCACTGGTGACTGCTGTGGGGTTCCATGGGCACAGCTGTCCTCACTGCCGCCCTGAGATGGCCCCGATATGGCAGTGGGAGGGCACTGCACACACAGCCACACATTCCTGCATACTCCCCTGTAGTCTGAGGACCACGAGGGCTACAGAGCCAGGATGCTTCAGTCCAATTTAGCACTGCGTGGTGCCCAGCACTGCCCCAGTACTGAGATCTGTCCCCCCCAGCAGTGACTGCCATCAGATGGTATTTACTTTTAACCCTACAGCAACCCCAGCCCTAAGCAGGCAGCTGGGAACAACACTGCTTTTGTTTGAACAAAGATAATTTTTAATCCCAGGAAGGCAGCCCAAATCGAAACCCAAAGAGAGAATGGAAAAAAAAAAAAACCAACAAAAAAAACCACCAAATCAATACTTGCAATTAGTGCTGCTCTGCAGTGATGACAGCCGACCGACCGCAGCCACAGCCAGAAATACCTCAGCTCCAGTGGGTGAGGCCTGGCACAGCCTGGCTGCAGGCAGCTCTGCAGTGAGCTCACGGGCAATGCCACAGGGCTGCATACGAAACTAGCATCCTTCCTTTACTGGTTTTAATTTTTTTTCTGCAATGGTGTTGGTAACATCAGCACCTCCAGCCCTAGGTCACACTGCTGCCCTGCAGCAGGAGCGGCACTGACTGGAATACCTGCAGCTGCCAGAGAGCAATCCAGGAATGGAGCACAGAAACCAGGAGTGGTCACAGCCTGCACTAGGAAGTGGCTCCACACTGCAACGTGCCTGTAGCAGGACAGCACACGAGCAGGATTTGGGAGTTTGCATCTTCCTCATCCAAGGCCTACATGCCACTCTCTACAGCCCACCTCCCAGGGCAAGAGAAACGCGGGCAGGCAGCAAATGGTTCTGCACAGGGTGAGGCACACTTCACCACCCCACTCTCTCCTGTGATGGAAGGAGTGGACCCAGGGCCGCAGAGGGCATCTGCATCAGGTCCTTGTCTGGAGGACAGCAGCAGTGTGAGCTGGAATTGCCCCATCCCTCCAGGGCACAGACCTCTATTTTCCAGAGATGCTCAATGCTAAGGATGCGTACGCCCAGCGCTTCCATCCAATAACAAACTGTTGGCACATTCCCACTGGGGGTACTCCCTTAGCTCAGACATTTATTCAAAGTGCACTTACACAGCACAGGTGTCCGCCACATACCACACCATTATCCTGACCTATCTGAGCTCCAGCCTCAGCCCAGCTCCTGCAGGATGCTGTTCACAGAGCCCAGCAGCTCCTGGAAGTACCCATCGCCATCGCCGTCCAAGCGCTCGGCAGCTGCCAGCTCCTCATACTCACTGCGCAGCAGCCCCAGCGTGGCACTGAGGGCCGTGTCCCCGCGGAAGCGCTCCCTGCAGAACTCCATCAGCACAGCCACTGCCTTCAGTACCTTCTCACGTGCGTCGTGCTCTGGCAAAGCCAGCAGCTCTGGCACTGCCACACACCAGTCTTGTTCCAGCACTGCCGGCACCAGCTGCACCCGCCGGTACTGCTGCACCTTCTCCTCTGCCTGGTCGCTGTGCTGAGAGTCCTCCAGCAGCATCTGTGGGAGGCAGGGGGCAGGTGATGACCCATAGCGGGGAGCTGCTGCCTGCAGGTGACACATTGCATGGTGCACACTGCAGCTCCTGCCATGCAAGGAGACGTGCGATGCATGCTGCTGTACATGCAGCTCAGTGCCAGGGATCTCAGCACCCCATGGCACAGGGAGGTGAAGAAGGATTCAGGCTCCTGCGGGGCCAAGGAGCAGAAACCCAGAGCCAGAGGAGCAGAGGGAGAGCCATGAGAGGCATGGGACAGTCCTGACCACAGGGCCAGCTGGGTCCCCAAGGATGTCTGTGGTGCCTCTCCAAACCTTCCTTCTGCTACCCCCAGGGCAGCTGCTCCATCACAGCACGCTGTGCCACCTAACTGCTGGGCATAGAGACAACAAGGAATGATACCACCACAACCCTAGTTCCCAGGAGTGCTACTGCTGAATGCCCATTTGGCATTCAGGATTCAGGGTGGAAAAAAGATGACAAACGTCATTCAGATGAGTGCAGAGCTGGCACTCACAGGGACTGGTGTTACTGTATGATTTTAGAAGCACATTTCCACCCAGGCAACCCCAAACCTGCTGGCCACATCTGGCCCAATCCTGCTCCCCACCAGCATGCTTCTGCTTCCCCTGCAGGCTCTGGAAGAGGCCGTGCCTGGAGGGCTGCGAGAAGGAGCAGCCACGTGTGAGCACAAACCCGAGGCTCTACAGAGCCTATGGACCTCCTCCAGCCAGAGCAAAGCTGGGGCAGGTGGGGCTGCATGAGGTGCACACAAGTAGGCAGAAGGAGCCAGGCCCATGAACCCTTCTACTGTGTGCAAAGAGACAGGGCAGCACAGTGTTACAGTCAGAAAGGCCAAAGCAGTGGAAGGGCAATACAGGAGTGCAGTAGCAAAGGGACTGGTGTGAATGGAATAGTGTTATAAAGGAAAGGTACTCGCCCGTTTCTGAACATCCACAAGAAAAACTCCACAAAGGAGGGATCTCCAACCAGTGATCCTTCCCCAGTGGCAATCAGCCCTTAAATAAGGTCTAAGAGAGTTGCAGCCAAGCTCCACCCCTTCCAGTCACACAGCTGAATTGCCTTCACCTGTGTTCCCAGGCCTCACCAGGTTCTTTCCCCAGGGTGGTCAATCAGTGGTTCAGGCTGGGACTCAGCAATTCCCATACAGGGTGTCAGAGCCCACACCTGATGGGATCTCAGACCCATTAAAATAATGTGCACCTTCACAAAATCCCGTGGAAAACAACTGTTTTAGAGCACAGCCGTTCCTCTGCGGTGCCTGGAATCTGAGCATTAAAGCAGTGATAATCTGCAGGGCAAATTGGCTATAAACACAGTGAAAGTGGATTTAATTCCCATTCTCTGGAGTAAGAGAGACACACAAACTAAATAACAAATGGTGGCAAGGAAAGGCAACATTTAAACTGACAGCAGTAATCCATGGTATGTGAAAATAAAGCCGCAGGAGCTGCAGCTCCAGCACAGGAGCTGGGAGGGACCCTTCCCCTAGAGAAGATCCCCCGTCCCACTGCCCCACACCCCTCACCTTCTCCACGAAGAGGTCATAGAGCAATGTCACAGCACGGACACACAGGGCTGAGGTCCCTGGTTGTCTGAAGAGCCCACGCAGCACCTGGAGGCCACCCAGCTTGAGGAACTGCTGCTGGGCATAGGGGAAGTGCCTCAGCAGTGAGGAGAGAGCGAAGAGTGCCTGCAGGAGAGCAGTGCGTCAGTTGGGGAGCAGGGCTGTAAATGCTGCAGCACAGAGGGGTGTGGGCAGCCCCCTGCAACTCCCATGCATCCCATTGGGTTGACCAGCCATGCAGAGCATCCCAAACCTCTCAACCCCAGCCACCCCAACCCTCGGGTGATGCCCACCTTAACTCCCTCCCCAGCCATCACTGCAGGAGTTGGTGACCCACAGAGACCCACAGCCAGCACCTGCACTGTCCCAGAGCATCAATCCATGTAGCTCCCTCCCTCTGCCTTCAGCACAGAGCCTGGCCACAGGCTGAGATGCCCAAAGAGGACAAAGCAGGGCTGAAGGTGATCTGGACACCAGGGAACATCATCTCTCTTGCCTCATGAAGGCAGAGGACCAGTCCAGGAGCACTATCACACACTGTGAGTGTGGCAGCAGCACACGTATGCTCACTTCTAACTGACGTCCCTAACAGACAGGTTGGCACGGCAGGGGGCAAGCAGGGGTCAACGGACCCATTCAGATGACTGCTCCCAGGCACAGTGCTGGGCTGACACCACCCTCAGGCAGAACTGTGGGGCTGTGGGGGCCTCACACGGATCCAGCAGCACCAGCGCCCCGCACCACGATGAGCCTCATGCCCTGCTCTGCGGACAGATCCGAGCTGACAGCCATTGCTTCCCCAACCCCATTTGTTACTATTTTACATCCCTGGAGTTGCCTCCGGTAAATCAGTGATGTTTCTGTCTCCTTTTTTCCATAGGCCAAAGGACCAAGGAATGAAGAAATGCACTTCTGGCCTCGCTGCCGCACAGTGCTGTGAGCATTGGTGCGGAAACCTACAGTCTGGGCACAACCCATCATGGGCACCTGGCCTGGGGAGCTGGGGGCAGTGTGGGCACATGAACTGGCTGCAGAAATTTAGAGTTTTGTCCTCCTGGAAAAGGGCCTTAGCTCTGCCCTTGGAAGCTCCACAATGCCACCCAGAAACACAGATGGCACTGAGCTCATCCCTCTCCTCCATTCTTCTCCAGCTGCTGCCAGCAGGACGCGTTTGTGTTTGCTGGAAGGAATGGGTCCATACCCACCAAGGGTTCAGGAGGTGCTGGTGAGGGTCTCTGCATCCCAGCCATGCTTCCCATCCCACTGCAGTCCCTGAGCACTCTGAGGAGTTTCAGTGCAGCAGCTCCCTGTGGGCACTGCTTCAACCCAGCAGAGAGGGTGCAGCCAAACAGATGGGGACTGCCCAGCCCCCCCCAGGGTTTTGCCATAGACCAGAGAGGAACGTTTGTGGAAGCTCCTTGTTAAAACTCACGCAGCACTTCACTGTTTGCCCAATGGCAGGTACATTAAAGACGAACAAAAGAGCTGTGAGTTGCTTCGCCCCATCAAATTCCATCTTGCAGAAGGTCACCATGTTAAGCAGTGGGGCTGGATGTTCACGAGACGACAGAAAATGTTGTGGCCAACAAACAGTGGTGGCATCAGATGCCAAAGCGAGGGTAATTAGATCTCACACTCCAGGGAGCACGGCGGGGAGGCAGCGAGGGATCCCCCAGCCCAACGGACAGCACTGCACATTTGGCTGGGGGCTCTCTGAGCTGCTCACCATGCTGCGAAGCCTCCGCTGCCGGCCACTGCCGGAGGCAGGGCGCAGGGCGGGCTCTGGCAATTAGCTCCTTCCAAATGTCAGCTCCCGTGCTTGCTGCCCTCTGAGCTTGTTGCAGGCTGTGGGCATCCCTGCCTCTCCCCCCAGCAGAGCTGCAGCATCCAGCCTGTCCCCCAAGGCAGGGATGTGCATCCCTGTGTGCAATGAGGGTGAGACCACAGTGCTGGCACCAAGCGATCAGGGCTACTGAGCTGTGGCCTGACCATCAGCACCATGCTGGAGGGCACGGGGTCATCAGATGCCCCCAGAATGGATGCAGCACTGCTCTCATGCTTGCATGAGCAACTATAAGGTGTGACACCCTGTAGAGAGCTGCATCCCAAATGGCTTTACCCAGAGGTGATCCCTGCCTGCTCACCTTCTTCTTGACAGCCTGTGGTTGTTCCGTAGCCACAATGACCAGCAGCTTCTGCAGCGCTCCTCCTTCAATCGCTTCTATCTGGACTTTGGGGTTGCTGCAGAAAAAACACACAAAGGGGTGTCACACACAAGGGAATGGCAGTGCAGATGGGGACAGGCCTGCTGGGCCACTCGTGCTGCTCTGCTGTGTGGCCACATCCTGCCCATCTGCCCCCAGCAAGGAGTCCTCCCTCACCCCTGCCTTGCAGCTACTGCTCCATTAATCCTCCAGCTCTGCACTGCCTCTGCTCCTTAATGGCCTCTGTCCTGGCACTCGCCTCCCCCTCGCTCACTGTTGCCCTGCTGATTTATGCCACACTCCCCTGCTGCTGTGTGCCCACGCTGCGGCACCAGCCCTGCCCCAGCTTCACCTGGAGGAAGGATCCGCTGTCCCTGGGGCCTCTGAACCAGACTGTGCCTGTCTGGCCACCCACACATCTCTCATCGAGTGCTTCTCAAGGACTGGAGGAGGCTGAGTGCATCCCTCTGGCTGGAAGAATGGGGCTGAAGCAGCAGGACTGGGTGTGAACAGCTGCCCCGGCACAGACCCCACTTGCAGAACACCCTGGGGCTGCAGCTGGGTGCAGCTGGCTCTCTCTTTGGCAGTGCTCAGTTAGAACATGGCACCCTGGAAGTCCCACACTGATCCCAGGTCTCATCAGCTCTGAGGGAAAGCTCCAGCACTTTAGCCTCTGCTTGGCTTTGAAGCAGCAATTGCACCACATTACACAGAGGTCAGCATCCCTGCTACTGCAAACACCCACAGCTCTCACTGCTGCAGAAAGCTGCGGAACAGCCAGCACTGAGAATCATACAAGAAATGAGACAGAGGCAGACAGGGTCATAAAAAAACAAAAACAGAGGATAAATGGACTTGGGTAGGAAGTAGCCTCGAATTTATCTGAGGCTTGCTATTAGCTCACAAAACCAGAGCAAAAACCTCAGCTCTGTGTGTTGCCCCCGGGCACATGCAGCCCCAGCCCAGGGCAGCTCCACCACCACTGCTCCCAGCTCCAGCTGTACCCACAGTGAGCACACGCACAGGGGCTGCCCACAGCATCCCAGCACCACTCCAGCCTCAGCCACTTCTCCCACTTCCCCAGGGCAAAGATGGGAGAGCACGAATGCAGGACAGGTGAACATCAGCTCTCGGAGCAGTCAGAGTTGTGCTGCAGACATGTCCAACACAGCCAGCACACAGAGGTGCTGAGTAGGACATGAATCCCCAGGCAGCAGGAGGGAAGGGAGAACTCTCCCAGAGAGGTGGATGAATCCTACATCGCCCTTCTGCCCAGGTGAATTTAAGGCAGACATATTCAGGACTTGTGACTGGGCTCCTGTGGGAGTCCAGAGACACAGAACCCAGACAGGCTGTGCAAACCAGGCAGCAGGAGAAAGGTTTTTTCCAGCTCTGTTTCCAGCAGTGACAGCTTTGGTCTCTACCTCTGTGTGTGTACAGCTGGGCCATGTTTGTTTCTGTTCTGAGCTCTCCTGGTGAAACAGAGATGCAGGGGTTCAGGTTCTGCCTGGCATCTCATCCACAGCACTGTCAGGCACTGCAGCTGCACTAGTGGTGAGGATGAGAACAAGAATGCTGCACTTCCAGACTCCAAGGTGGAGCTGGCAATGCTGACACTCAGAAATACAGTTTCTGATCCTAAAACTCCCTCCAACCTCACATTAATGTTACTCCAAGCAAGGGGGGCTGGGTGGGTGTGGTGCAAGCTTGCAGGCAGGCACACTCTGGAGCACAGTGCACAGAAAAGAGCTCTCAGACTGCAGAGCTCTTTGTGCCATTCAAAGAAAACTGGGATCTTAAAGTTCTTTGTCACATCTATCTAAAATAAATAATAAAAAACTCCACAGCAAGGGATATAACGGAAAAACTGCTATGCCTTTTAATGCTTGGCTGGTCACCCGGAGTATTAGATCTAATTAAAATCTCTGAACCATGGAGTTTTTGCCAAGGAGTACCTCTGGAGGTTAGGAAGCCTTCCTGGATGCTAGGTGTGCTGCTCACTTCTCAGTGTTTCTGTTGTTTAATGTCTCCACCATCAATTGTCCACTAACAAAAAGCTCATTTGAGGGTTTTGAAAATTCAGCACAGATCTGTACAAATTACACTGTCAAGCCCAGGGAAAAGCAGCCTGAACAAAATAAATACAATGAGACAGACTGTGGACTGCTATCATAGAAAATTCAACTTGTGCTAATCTGTCACTAGATAAGGGGATGCTGGCATCAGCAGCAGAACGGGCTGAAATGAAGCTGGGAGAGTGGGGGAGAGCCTGCACACAGCCTGCAATGAGCAGCCCTGGTTGCATGAGGAAGGCAGAGGTGTGGTTGCAGGTGAGATGACGCAGCCTCAGGGGTGGGTGAGTGTCAGCCCCATACAAGTGCTGCACTCGGGCTCCAGCAGCTTCCCATCAGAAGTGATGGACATGGGCACCAGACCCTCTTGGTGAAGATCCCACCTACCAGATCCTCTTCCCCAGGGCCTCTGGTCTGCTTCTCTTCTCTGCACCTTAAAATCCCAACCCAGGCCAACTCTCCATGCTCCAAGCTCGTGCAGTGAGCTCTGCAGACAGGCAGTGACTGGGGCCACCTGCACTGCCCCGCACACTGCTGCAGCGAGGACGCATGGTTTTAGCCACAAGACAAACAATATTTATGCCTCCCACTGCTGCCTCCTCCCCAGGCTCCTGGAGCTGTACCTTTGCATAGCATCAACTTAATGCGCCATTTTATCAGTCCAGCACATTTTTGCTCTTTTGGAGGAGGGTGACTGTGCCCTTTGGCTGAGAAGAGAAAAACAAAAGCAGGGAGAAAAAGCGATAAGAAAACCTCTGAGCCTGCCTGCTGCAGAAGGAAACACTCCATTTTCTGCCGGTTTATATTTCACTATGCCAGAGTTATAACTTCCCACGAGGGGCCAGAAATTATTACAGCTGAGGCCTGTTTGCCAAAACACCACGAGACTCAGGGAGGGGAGAAAAATTAATACAAGCGAGTGCAGGCGTGCTGTGATCAGCGGTGCTGCAGCTTGGAACGGGCAGGGAAGCTAAAACAAACCTGGCACAGAGCTGGGACTGAGCAGTCCTGCCCTGGGCAGGCACTGAAGGCCTCCCAAGCACCTTCCTACAGCCATCAGGTCGGGCTGTTTGTTCCAAGCAGTCTTTTTCCTCCCAGTAAAGCATCCTGCGGCAGCAGCAAGGCTGCAGGACAGGGATGGCCAGCCAGAGGGCCCACCAGTGAGCAGCACAGACGTGCTCCAGTGCAGCTGTCTGCAGGCTGGGGGATTGCAAGTCCTGCACATTCATGTGGAACCAGCTCCCATTTTGTAAAGAACAGACATGGAGAGTGTTCCCTGTTGAGGATTACCCTTACACTGTCACCTTGCAGAGCCCCGATCCTCGGACGACCCAAGGCACACATGCGCAAATTTGAAAGAGTCTTTTAAAAGATTTTCCAGACTGCACATTGGAAGGGCACGGGAAGACTAAAAAGCAGCAGCACAGCCCTGAGGCAACAGCGGCTCTCCAGTTAGACAGGAGCTTGCAATACAGCAGCAAAATTAGATTTAAATTTAAAAAAAAAAACACAGAAAAGTCAAGTGGTGTGGAGGGGCTTGGGGACTTGGAAGCACAGAGCAGGGCAGGCAGGCAAACGCCCTCATCTCTACTGCTTGGCAAGGACACACACAGAATATTTATTTCTTGACCTGCTTATTGCCAAAGCAATGTACGAACCACACAAAGCGTACACGAGACTCTAGTAGGAAGGACTGTCTCCTTGCCCTGAGCGTCTGCTGGAGCCAGGCACGGCGAGGTGCTGATGGGGGTGGGCAGCGGAGCAGGGGCTGTGCACATCCCCAAGCACAGGCCTGGATGGGAACGTGGTGTAATGCTGGAGAGGGACGATCATCGCCAGGCTGGGCAGCACTTAATGGGCCTCTTGTTTCTTCAGAACCAGCGGACTGTGATACCGTGTGGGAAATCAAAGCCAAGGATCAAAGCCTGTGAAGCAGCCTAAAAAATTTAGTACAGTCTATTTAGCTTGTGCTGGAAGCCAAGGATCAGAAGCAGGCAGGGAAGTGGTGCGGCTTTGCTCTGATAGCAAAGAGCACAACAGCACCCAACGCTCTGCTCACAGGACATTGGGGCTGCCCTATACACAGCCCTGGGCTGTGAGCCATGCCTTCAGAGCTCTGCACCAGGCTGGGAATTTGCAGGGTGATGGAAAAAGTAATCTCTGAGAGAACTGGAAACACAACACAAGCAGAGACACAGCAATAAGGCCAACAACTTGTCCCTGAGAGGCCACTGGGTTTGGAGCCCCTGTAGGAATCAAAATGTTACAATTACTGACCAATAGCAGATACCGAAACAAAACTGTCCATTGCCAAGTCAGTGCTAAAAAGGTTTGACTAGGATTCAGTACTCGGAGCCTCACCCACAGCTGTAAATCTGTGGCTCTGAATAAGAACAGAAAGGAGATGCTGGGTGATCAAGTGCTTGCTAGTACTTGTGCAGCTGAATTTCAAATTACAGCTTTAAGGAAAGAAAGCTTAAAAACGCTCCAAGTGAGAAGCGCTGTATGCAAAGAGCAAGGTTCCCCACTGCATTCAAAGCACTGGCTGCAGCATGAAATATTCCCATGGGAAATGCCTGTGTCACAGCTGCAATGGGCTCTGCCACCAAAATGATGCCCCACGCTCACGAGTGCACACTAGAAATGGGAATGGCCTGCTTGTGCATCCCTGAAGCTCTTCCAAACACGTAGCACAGCTCTGCTCCTTGCCTGCTGCACGTGGCAACCTGCCACTGCTCCACGCCGCATGCGGGCGGCTCCGACCCCGCAGCTTCCCAGGTGTGCACAAGCTGGCTGCATCTCCTTCTGAATTTTCTATCTGAGGAGATCTGAGACACCTCAATGCAAATAATGGTGCAGCCCCCCCACCCTGCAGACCAGCCACCCGGCCCCGCTGCAGGATGCCAGCCCAGCAGGCTGCCTCTGCTGCAGCACAAAGCAAATGATGCTGACGCGCAAAGGGGAG